ATTAAAATAAATTGATAAGTCTAAAAAGAGATATGGATTGAATTAAAAAGATTGAATCGTGGTTAAATATCTTGATATCATAATTATACTGTTTCTAAAAAAATATTCCATAACATTTGATTCCATAATAATACTGCTTTTGAATATAATTGATTCCAAATTGCTGGATTTAGTGTTTAATTAAATATTATGAAATATCTTTTTTAAAATATATAATTATTAATTTATTATTTGTTTCTTATTTATATTTTATTTTTATCTTCACCAATTGACAATATTATGTTTGATCACATTGTGCATGTAGATAATTTTTTAGATATAAAGTTGTGAACTTAACAAATATCTTATGTGGTTTACAATCCATAAAAACAATTGACATTTGTCAAAATTTATGTGATTACAACATTTAGGCATTATAAATGCTCTTATTTTGTTTTAAATAATTTCAAATATACTTCTATCCATTCCATATAAAATTCATACTATTTAAAGTCGAACATTTTGTACCAAAAATAAATCACCCACTTTATACCACAAAATCGGACATTTATTATTAACAACACATTTTCTATGAAAAAACAAAAAAAGGCTATCAAATACTTAAAATAAAATCATCAACTTTATATCAAAATTGAATTTATTAATTTTGTCAACTTTATACCATAAATTAATTAAGTATTTTCTAAAAGTCATTTCTACATTTTGTCCAAAATATTCTTTTGCGGCACATAAATGTTATTTATATTTTTGTATTTGATTATCTTGTCTACGAAGAAAAAGATAATCTTGCAACTCTACTATGCCAACACAAAGATGTATGAAAAATAGCATAAGTATTAATTTATTATGTTTTACTCAATACAGGAAATATAATATAGATATAAAGATTAACGATTAATTCTCTATAATTTCTCAATCAAGTCTATATACTTAAACTAAGGATTTCGAAAGTTTCTATAATACCCCAATATTTGTTTTCATGAAACTAAATCATCCTAAATTTAAGTTCAACTAATAAATGTAATAACCATAACTATTTGACTAAAACGATTATGTACATTAATTACATTAATTTTTGTTAATTTACTATTTGTAGACAAAAATTAATGAAATTGGCGGGAAATTATTTCTAAAAGTGAATTATGTTAATCCTTGTTATATATTAATAGATAAATGATATTTACCTAAAAACCATATATTTGACATATTTTTATTGTCAAATTAATAATACACTAATACTCGTTTAATATTTAATTAATTAATTACAATTAATAAAACAAATAATTAAATACAATTAATAAAACAATTCCACATTTCTTACAAATCAACCACAATAATTTACGTCATTATTCCTCAAGAATATGCTTTCTTCCAGATATTCTCCAAACTGCTTTCTTCTGTATCTCCAAAAAATGAGTTCACCGTTAACCCAAGCAACAAAGCGTTGAATGATATAGAATTGTTGTTTTGAAAAAAAGTCCTTATTTTTAGTATAATTTTATTGATAAAATCGTAATCATATTTAATAGTTTAATATATAAAAGTGAATGATGTAACAAAAACAACATTATAAATATTATAAAGAATTCAAATATTTTCAACTATTTATTTATCTATATTTTAACAAAACGATAAATCTTGATAAAACATGACATCTTAATTGAGGAGTAAGTTGTATATAATAAATAATTTCAAAGATAAATACTTAACTTGAATTAAGAAAATATGCCTAAAATTTTACCGAAATCATGCACACGTGAAATATATACGTAATCTAACAATCTAGAGAAGTGGATGAATTCATTCAACTATTTCATTATTTTAAGAAAAAATAAACTCTTTTATTTAAAATAAGAATTTGAAATTACGCCTTAATTTTATTGGAATGATTTTTAATCCCACAAAAAAGGTCATTTATTTGTTAGTTGGTTTGTATTTTCAAATGTTGGTAGCAAAGACAATAACGCTAACTAATCTTTATCAAACCATTAGGTGATTAATATCAAATTGCGCAATATTTTAATTATGAACAATTCAAATATTCGGAGTTTTCCATTCAACTATTAACAAAAATATATTATACATTTTAATTATGGTTACTTTATTTGAGCAATTGATATTTACGATAGGCGCACTATAAACAATGATCATTAAATTTTTTATATATTAAATATTTTATTTATTGATTATTTTAAGATTCTTAAATGCTTTTATGATTTTTTCAATAAAATTTAAGAGTTTACTTAACTGTAAGTATCCTGTCAAATAAGATAATTGTTTCAATAATAGTTATTCAATTTTTTCAATGGCTAATTTTTGTCTTCTAGTGTTTTTTTTATGTGTTTTGTTATTCCCAATAGTATATAGTGTGTAGTCTCCTATGTTGGAGTGGGTTCGAAAAAAAAAAGAGATGGACTAACTTAAGTAAAAAAAACCAAAAGTTATCCGGGCTATAATACATGATAACCAATAAAAATGCTTTGATATGTTTTCTCTGTTAAAAGAAAAATTAAATTAAGAATAAATAATGCATGTTCAGATTTGTACTTGGTTCAAAGTAGACTAGAGAGTAGATTTGGTCTTTTTTTTTTTTAGCGTCACTTAAGTTAGATCTTGTTTACTTTTATTTGCATTGAAAAATATTATATCTTTATAGAAGACTTTCTTACGTATATATATATTTTAAGAGATCTAAAGTATTGTGGGTGTCGGAAAAATTATATAAAAAGAAATAGATCGAAATTTAAAATAACTTATTAAAATGAATACTTTTTATCATAGTTTTTGACTCGGCTGCTTTCTTTCGTGTCTCCAAAAAATGAGCTCAATGTTAACCCAAGCAACAAAGCGTTGAAATTATATAGAATTGTTGTTTTGAAAAAAAAAATCCTTATTTTTAGTATAATTTTATTGATAAATCGTAATCATATTTAAGGGTTTTAATATATAAAAGTGAATGGTGTAACAAAAACAACATAATAAATACTTATAAATAACTCAAATATTTTCAACTATTTATTTACCTATCATTTAACAAAACGATAAATCTTGATTAAACATGACAACTTAATTGAGGAGTAACTTGTCTATAACAAATAATTTCAAAGATACACTTAACTTTAATTTAGAGAATATGCCTAAAATTTTATTAAAAACATGCACACGTGAAATATATACGTGATCTAACAAACTAGAAAAGCAGAAGAATTCATTCAACTACTTCATTATTGTAAGCAAAATAAACTCTTTTATTTAAAATTAGAATTAGAAATTACGTCGTAATTTTATTGTATTGATTTTTAATCCCACAAAAACTGTCATTTATTTGTTAGTTGGTTTGTATTTTCAAATGCTGGTAGCAAAGCCAAAAACGTTAACTAATCTTTACCTAACCATTAGGTGATTAATATCAAATTGCGTAATATTTTAATTATTAACAATTAAAATATTTAGAGTTTTCCATTCAATTATTAACAAAAATTTATCATAACATTTTAATTATTATTACTTCATTGAGCAATTGATTTTTACGATGGGCGTTCTATAAACAATGATCATTAAATTTTTTATATATTAAATATTTGATTCATTGATTATTTTAAGATTCCTAAATGCTTTTATGTTTTTTTTAAATAAAATTTAAGAGTTTACTTAACTGTAAGTATCCTATCAAATAAGATAAATGTTTCAACAATAGTTATTCACTTTTTTCAATGGCTAATTTTTGTCTTCTAATATTTTTTTTTATGTGTTTTGTTAGTTCCAACTTTGTGTAGTGTGTAGTCTCCCGTGTTGGAGTGGGTTCGAAATAAAAAAGACATGGACAAACCTAAGTAAAAATAAAAAATTAAAATACAAAAGTTAGACGGTCTAGAATACATGATAACCAGTAAAAATGTTCTGATATGTTTTCTCTGTTAAAAGAAAAACTAAATTAAGAATAAATGTTGTCTGTCCATGTTTGTACTTGGTTCAAAATAGACTAGAGAGTAGATTTGGTCTCATTTTTTTATCGTCACTTAAGTTAGATCTTGTTTACTTTTAATTGCATTGAAAAAATATTAGTTTTTAATACAAGGCCATTTCTTATGCATATTTTTTTTTTAATAGACTTAAAACATTGTGGATGCTCTGAAAAATTATATGTAAAAAAATACACCGAAATTTAAAATAACTTAAAATGTATACTTGTTATTAGTAAAGAATAAAATTTGAAAAAAAAATGGGTCTTATAAAAATTTCCCAAGAGACTTCCTATTTTAAACTTCCTATTTGGAGAAATAAGAAGTCATCCTATATCCATTTGCTTTATATTTTCTGTTGTCCTCTAAGAGTCTCCCTATTTTATAATTTGAATCTGAACCAAGTCTACAAATCTATCTAAAAGCTCACTTGAAGCCCAGACTGGGTGGACTTCTCGAAATGCCGACGATGGAGTCTTGATCGGGCAACGGCGACAACACCTTGTTTGCGGTAGCTGCGTCGGCGGCGCCACCTTTTCGTCATGGGGCGACGCCGGCACCTTCTATCCGGTAGTGGCGGCACCTTTCCGGCGGCGGCGAATGATTCGACCTGTTCAGGAGTGGCGGTGGAGGGCGGCGAGTGGGCGGCCGTGGATTCTGCGAGCGGGGGGCCGTGGAGGGCGACGAGGGGGAGATGAAAGGAGCAGGGAGGAAAAAGACCACGATAGATTGAAAGAAAAGAGCGCGTATCGAAAATAATGGCGGGGAGATGAAATTGTGGGTCGTTTTCCCTCTCCAGAAATGAGGAAGAGAAGCCTCTATTTGAAGGCATCCTAAAAATAAGACCAAGTTTGGGGGAACTGTTGAAACTGTTTTTGAAAAAAATCCTTATTTTGAGATAAGAAAGAGGAATAGGGAGAGCTCTTGCTCTACTATTTTTGGAATTGAATATCTTCATTCTTGCGGTAACTCTAGGGTTGCTCTGCACAAAGGGCTAGGGTTCATATCCAATATTCGAGAGAGGTAAATTCATCGGCCATGGAAGATCATCAAGCGAAAAGAAAGAAGTCCTCATGCGACAGATTATCCGAGTTGCCAAAACCCATTTTGCACCGTATACTCTGTTTCCTTCCCCAAGAGCACGCCGTCCAAACTTGCGCTCTATCCAAATCATGGCGCGATATTGGCTGCACTCGCCCCAAGATCGACTTTCGCCATGACCCCGACGAAGGGGATGCTCCCCTCAAAAGGGATGAGGACAAGTTCTTGTTTGTTTTGAACAAGACGCTGCAAGGTTATCATGAGCGAGGGCTTTCCGTACAGGATTTTCTTGTCGGAATGTTCAGGTTTGATCTAAATCCATTTCACTGCTTCAAAAATGGATCCCTATAGTCCTGCTGAATATGGGGGTAAAAAGGTTCCATCTTGAATCCTTTTCTGACTGCTTTGATATGCCGTCTGTCCTCTTCGAAGCCAAATCCCTTGAGGAACTGCATCTTGCGCATTGCCGAATTACTTATCCAGACAAGTTGCTTTCTAAGAAACTACGAATTCTTTCGCTCGACTTGGTAGATATTGGAGATGAAGCTTTGCGGAAGATAATGTCGGGCTGCCCCTTGATGGAACGTGTGGTCCTTTTTGGCTGTCAAGGTCTCACATCAATTAAGGCTCATAATAGTAATCTCAAGCACTTTGAATACTTTGATTTTCAAGCTGATAATGTCCTCATAGACATTGATGCACCGAGTTTAGAGAGCATCAGAATTATGGGTCAATCGAGATGGCTTTACCTTGGTAAGTCCTTCATGCATCTCAAGTCCGTTTATCTCGAGTATCTCGTCCTCAACCAGAAGTTTTTTGATATGTGCTCAGTCGACTTGTGCTGTCTTGAGGACTTGAAAATGCACTCTTGCAGTGGCCTTGAAGAATTCCAGCTCTCGAGCCGCTCGATTAAACGATTGCGTTTTTGGGTGGGCAGCCCCACCAAGGCAGTTCTTGACCTCCCAAATATACTTTTTCTCCAGTTGCATTGCATAGTTTTCCCGTCAATCTTGTTGTCAACAGATTCCAGTGAGTGGAGATCGGAGATTCACTTGATCCGTCCTCTTATTCCCAATAATGATAATGAAGCTGCATCGTTGTTTGATAAGTTACATGAACTGCACAGGGCATTGGGACATTCTCGAATTTCTATGCACATGAGAGTTTTTAATCTGGATTTAGCATTCAGTCATGAGGGTCTTGGAGAACTTCCCGTGATCGAGAGCTTGACTGTGGAGAAAGATTTTACTTTATTTTACCTAAAGGCTTTTTTCAATTATTTTTTTGGTAAATTCCGTCCGAGATATGTAGAACAGTCTGTGGATGCCGTTTTCGAGACTGAAGAGTATGAAGAAGAACCAGACCCCTATGATGAAGAAGAGTATGAAGAAGAACCAGACCCCTATGATGAAGAAGAGTTTGAACCTCCGTGTACAGTTTCAGCGACTAAAAAGTATGGAGGAGTCAATGAACTCGTTGATCGTTTGTGCGATATGTTTTTGATGGAGAGTGAAAGGGAGAATTACTATTGGCGGCAGGATTTGGAGGAAGTAAGTGTGGAGGCCAGTGAAGAGAGTGGAAAGAAATGGCGTCCTTTGCAAGGAGCGAATATATCTGAATGGGGGTTGCCGAACAATGTTGATCAACAGATTCAACAACAGGTTCGCTTTCGACTAAAATGGAGAGGGTGAAGTCTTTCTTGACTGATTAATTTACTAAGTACTTGAGATGCTTCTTTATAATTTAATTAAGTTTGAGTAACTAGTGGTTTTGATAGCTCATTTCGTGGTTTGTTTTTCTATCATCTGCCTTATGGGGAGACATTGAATCTTCTGATTTGGTTCTGTTTTGAAGCTGCTATTAGTAATTTGCTTGACGTTTTCGTTTGTTCATGAATTGTTTACATATAAATATGCTCTCCTTTTCCTTTTTTTTTTTTGGTTAACACCAGAGTATGAGAGGAAACTGTTATAAAATGCGAGGAATATAAAGAACACAATGTATAAAAACCGGAACGATTATAATCTGCTTTCTTTCTTCACTTTTTTGTACAAACAATGAACCATTTTCCTTGCCTTTTATAGGCAAAATTTATGCATACAAGCACACATTTCTATACCATGATAAGATAAAATATTAATGGTACTAGTGGTAAGATTCCACTTGTCCATAACACTCCCTCTTGGAATTACCACTATTAAATGTGCGTTTATGTTGCCTCGTTAAAAACCTTATCTGGAAAAATCCTGTGGGAAAAAAACCGAAATAAGGAAAAAAGAGTACAGCTGCACATACTCCCCCTCGAGTTATCATTTGTGCAAATACCGAAGATGTCTCATTCCAATGTTGTGTACGTGCTTTCGAAATATTGTCGTCGGAAGCGCCTTCGTAACAAATCAGCTGCATTATCGCTTGATCCAATGTATTGAACTTTGATTTGTTTGTTTCTTTCAAGCTCTTGCGCATATGAGAAGAACTTTGGCGGGATATGTTTGGTTCTGTCACTCTTAATGTATCCTTCTTTGGTTTGAGAGACACATGCTGCATTGTCTTCGTATATCACCGTCGGGTCATTATTGTTCGATAGTCCACTGGCTTGTTGAATATGTTGAGTCATGTTTCTGAGTCAGATGCTTTCCCTAGTTGCTTCATGGAGTGCAATGATCTCAGCATGGTTTGAAGACGACGCAACTAATGTTTGTTTCTGGGAACGCCAAGAAAATGCAGTTCCACCAATCGTAAAAACGTATCCAGTTTGAGATCTTGCTTTATGGGGGTCTGATATATATACTGCATCTGCAAAACCGATTATTTCATGCTTTTTATCGTTAGAGTAAAACAGTCCCAAATCGATTGTCCCTTGGAGATAACGGAATATATGCTTAATTCAATTCCAATGTCTCCTCGTAGGTGCCGATTTATATCTTGCTAATAGATTGGTAGCGAAAGATATATCTGGTCTGGTACAATTAGCAAGATACGTAAGAGCTCCTATGGCACTCATATATGGTATTTCAGGACCAAGTATTTCTTCATCTTCATCACAAGGTCGAAATGGATCATTTTCAACATCTAATGTTCAATTGACCATTGGGGTACTAAGTGGATTCGCCTTGTCCATATTGAATCGTTTCAGTATTCTTTTAGTGTAATTAGATTGATTGACAAATATCCCATTTTGGACTCGTTCTATTTGCAAGCCGAGACAATATTTAGTCTGTCCGAGATCTTTCATTTCAAATTCGCCTTTTAGTAAAGTGACTGCTTCTTGGATTTCATTTGTAGTCCCAATAATATTAAGATCATCGACATAGACAGCAATTATCACAACTCCATCTTGTAATCTTTTTATAAAAACACACGGGCATATTTGATTATTTATTTATCCTCGTTTTAGTAATCGTTCACTCAAACAATTATACCACATACGCCCGGATTGTTTCAAGCCATACAATGATCTTTGTAGTTTTATCGCACATAACTCTTTAGGTTTGGACTTTAGCGCCT